TTTCGGACCTGCTAAAAATCTATATTTTTAAGAACTATAATGCAGAAAGTAAAAAAAAAAGCGCTGGAGATTTTGTAATAGAGGGAGCAGTTTGGATCAGCAGAAAAATGCATCAAGGCAACCTTTACTGACTTTTAAATATGCTTAAGCAGAGGACACTCTGTTGGTTGGAATGTGTAGAGAATGAAAATGGTGCCATATAAAGAATAGTAACAAAACACACACAATAAAGCATTTTTTTCTTTTGTATTTGACCTACATGTCTAATTTTAGAGTCAATTAAAGCTCATGTTCATGTTCCATTTCATTCTACTATATTTTTTCATTCAGAAACACATTGAGCAGCTTTTTTAATTTTATTCTTTAACTGTATCATAGATTATCGCTGGTATATGAATGAGTCATGCTTATATCTAAACTCCATTTAATATTAATCAGTTTTGTTCTATTGGCTTTTTGCACTTCATCTGTATACGAATAACTGACATAGCTTGTGATAAAAGATAATCAGTTTTTTTGGTATCGCTTAGCAAATTTCTGAGCAAATTCAGCTCCTCTCTGCTTGTTGAGCTCTTTGATGTGTAGTCTCGGTAAGGCAACAGTAGGACGGACAGGAACAAGGTGGCTGTGTGAGTCAGAACTTCAGCAAAACCACAGCAGGGGAGAGGATCGGTGCACTGCTGGAGAAGGTTGAGAGAGGTATGACTGCATCCCATGTCAATATCTAGGAATTATTAGGTTAACATAGATGGTTGGAGGTGTTCTTATCCTTACTCTCTTATTCTCTGATTTACCCTGAACTCTAATGTGTTTGTAGTTGGACATTATGTATTATGTATCTGAGGTATTTATTACTTTATAAGGAGTCTTCATTTTGCTTTTTTTTTTGTCTGTAAAAATAAAAACTAGATGTAAATAAACATATTTACTTAGTGTCAGTCTCTGTGTGTGGAAAATCAATGCAGTTCTGCAAAGTAGGTGGAGAGGCCTGCTGTCACTAGTTTGCAAGTCTCCACCTGACTGGTTCTGTCTACATGGTTTTACAAGCTCACATTAACACAAACAAAAACATCACAAATACCAGGCAAGCTGATATGTGTCTGCTTTTTTAAGCCTATGAAGAGGCTGAAGTTCATAACCGAACACTTGTTTGTGAATAGCTGTTGATATCTATGCATATACAGGGTCTGTACTTGTGAAGTCTTTGTCTGCCTGTATTATTTCTTTCTGGCTGTTATGGAATTATAACAGCCAGTGTGAAAAAAACAAAACAAAAAACAAAGGTTTACAGCTGGGACATCAGAGACATAGCTGTAACTTCTTCCTGCTTTCGCGACATTTATTACCCTGCTGGTGTTGTTTTTGAAATGAAAAACAGCCACTACTGGTACACCGCTACATATTTGCATATGCATTTTGAAGCTATTATGGCTGACTTACTTTTATTTTCACTTTTACTTTCAACTTTGTAATTAGTCAATGTGTAGATGGTTTAAGTGCTACTGAAATGAGTTCAGTTGCGTGGTTTATTTCTTTGAAGAGGTCCTACAAAGAAATAAACCACATTCTGACCTTAAAGTGAACTCGTATGTAAACACAGATACAGACTCTTTGATGAGCATTCCTAGGTCAACACAGACTGAATGGTCTTGTTCAGTTCCTCTGCTATCATTGCCAAACTACAAACATAGGCTGACAAAACCAATGCAGAAAGTTGATGTTGTCTTTCACAACTCCACTTTCTGTTTGCTGATTGGCCAGGATGAAATGTATCTTGAGAAATTGAGCTCAATGGGACAAATCCCAGATGGAGCACTGAAGGGAGATGAGAAACTGGCAGAATTGCACAGAAAATCAGTGGCCAGACAAACAAATCATGAAAAGTCTACAAGGTGATGTTTGGTTTTATTTGGCCACATTACATTCTCCCATATGGTTCCAGTAAATCTTAACCAGGCCTGAACAAGTCGGTAAGTCTGCAGATGAAGGATTTCTGTAAAAGTTTAGCATTTCTCCAGGACCACACCTGATTGGATGAACAAAAGCAAGCACAACAAATGATTGGATGATTATGTAATTGTGGGCATATCTCAACGTCAAAGTCTGATTACAAGTCATACTACAACACTACACTTCTGGTCTATACCCAGTTGCCTTCACGCTGAATGATCATTTCGGATTAGTAATATCTACAATATATTACGTTTAGTGAAGAAAATAATAAACATCCAGATTGTCAGTCTTAAAATGTTAATTTTCTGTTCACACAGCCAACATGGCAGAAGAGGAAAGTTAACAATCTTTCAGTTGTCAGGAATGCTGTTTTCTGTTTTGTTACTGCACATAATATAAATGTTACAGTACATATCAATCAGGGCACATTTTCAGGATTTTATTTTTTGGTAAAATGTTACATTTCTTATTCGTTTTACACATACTTAGGCAATATTGAATTTATTTTTGATATTTATCATTTTATTGGTGTACTGACGACAAACAATTTGAATATGTAAAAGCATGCCTCATGTTTTTTTTTTTTTTTCAAAAACATCTACTTTTACTTCTTCATGGCATCAATTGTTGATAAGGGACACTGTAGTAGAAAACCTGAGCTACTGACATAGCACAAAAGTGGCTGCAGTAAGCCGGAGCAATGGCTTCACTACAAAAGCTCCTCAGCTTTTTTTTCTTTTTCCACTTTCCCAGAAACCTGCACCACAATCGTTACATGTTGCTTGAGAGTAAGAAATGAAATAAGGCCTAAACTCAGCCTTAAATTCGAATTATTTCTTCCAGTCAACAAGGTCAGCAATTGTGACAAAAACATGACTAGATCACCTGCAGGATGCTGGTACAATTGCATCCTTCTGGTGCTTTGTAACCTGTCTACATACTGTGGTAATGATCTATGAAAGTCGAATTGTTTCAAAAACATGACAGTGAATATTCAGTAAATTAGAGCATGTATTCTGACTTTTCTCATTTAATATGCAGAAAACAAACATTCACATTCAACCTTAATAACTTCAGATAAAAGTCAAACAATAATCTCCCCTCCATCCAGTCAATGTGTTTTTTTCCCCCCACTGAGATTAATTGAACACACCAGCTCCTTGCACTGCTCATGAGCGTGCTTCCATGGCAACATATGGCCATATGATCTCAAAGGGAAGGTGAAAACCAACATTTTAAAGTCAAATTAATAAACGTATCTCACAAACGTCTGAACCCATCCTCAAGTAAATTAACTGAACTTGAAATAAGTATATTTGTAAATTAACTTGATTTGATGTTAATAAAGTACTTACATACAGCACCTTTTAGTGAGGGGCTGAATCTCTCATAGATTTCATTTTATTGACCGAGACAAAAAAATCGTCCTTCACTATGAAGTGGAATTGAACACGGTCATTTAGAAAGTTTTGTCCACATTTAAATGATGACATCACACAGCTGCTTCAGACTTCTTGGGTGCAAATCCCTGATGCCATTCTCCTTTCCCACTACGAGCCAAATATGCTCTATCAGACTGAGATGTGGTGACTGTGGGAGCCATTGGAATTGGTTTTTCATTCTCATATTCGACAAATCAGTTTGAGATGGTTTGAGCTCTGTGATATTGTGCATTACCTTGCTGGAAGGAGGCATCTAGATCGGTACAATGTAATGAAGAGATAGAAATGGTTTGCAACAATACCCAGGTAGGCTGTGGTGCTGAAAACAATGCTTTGTTGGTATTAAGGGATGTAAAGTGTGCCAAGAAAATATTTCCGGTGCCATTATGCCACCAGCAACAGTCTGAGCCGTAGATACAAGGCTTTTGTGTTCTTGATGCCAGAATCTCACTCTGCCTGAATGTAGCAGCTTAAATTGGCATTCATCAGACCTGGCATTTTTTTTCCCCATCTGTTATTGTCCAATGTTGAGAACTGTAGCCTCAGTTTTTCATTCATGGCTGACAGGGCTGTATCCTGTGTATTGTTCTGTTGCTGTTGCCTATCTGCTGCCAATGATTTTTATCATCAGAGATGCATTTAGTTGTACTTGTGCTGAGTGGTCACTGAACTCCTGTTTGTCATCCACACATCTAACTGTATTGTCCATTTTTCTGATCTCTCACATGAGCAAGATATTTTACCAGCTTTACAAAATGTACAAAACAGTCTGTCAACAACCATGCAACCTTTAAAGTTAATCTAAATCTTCTCTACTTTTATTATCACTTTTTACTTCAACAAGCCTCCTTCATTTTGCGCAGTGGAGTTGGTATGTGATTGACTGATTTATTTATTTTTTCATTACTGGCAATTGGACAAATGTCCAGTTGTCCTTTCATCAATTTGGCAATTGGACTAATGTCGAATTAGTCCTATTGCCACGGATAAAGTGACCCGAGTTTATAAAAAAAAGAAAAAAGAAAAAAAAAAGAAAAAAGTCTTCACCACCTCCTGATACTAATAGTTTCTCACTTTTATTAATCTATTAATTTACCGGCCCGTTTATGTTATCAGGGGTATTATAGGTAATTACACATTTTTATTTTGATGCCACTTTATGCAGCACAGGGTAGCGGCAGCCTTTTGTCTTTGTCTTTGTTTCATTGCTGCTGTCCAGACACAATGGCGGTCTCCTGCTGGCGCAATCAGGGAAGTTCTTGTCAGCCAGCCCTCCTCGCCTTTCATTCTCAAACCTGGACAGAGGAGTCCAGGTAGACAAGTAGAAATGAGCAGCTTCATAGTTAACTTAGTGCGGCTTTTTCAGTCAAATGAAAGACCAGGAGCCAATCACACCAAATTTGTTTACGTGTAAGATAAAAATAACCACAGTCAAAATGCATCCACATTATTTTCTCAAACAATCTCGAGATTCCTCTGTCCGATATTGTTTGTGCGCATAGTTGTTTGACTTTGAGAGGGCGGGACTCTGTGGAGAGCGAAGTGAACTAGGCGCGGCCAAGCGGAGACCCATCCATCTATCACACGTGTAGACAAAGGGGGGACTCCACAACACAGAGCTTGATGTGCCCCTCTCAAACTTTTTCCACGAACGCACGGGAACGCGCGCACAGCGAACAGCTCAGGTGAGTTGCCTCCGAACCGGGATGCTGCAATCGCTTCGCCCGTCTCTGGAGTGGCTTGGTTTGAGTGTGTTTCCAGTGAAAAGTTGCGGCTGTACTTAGTGCGTCAGCGCTCAAAACTTGAGCACAAAGAAGGAGGGAGAGGACGAGAGACATAGAGAAATCAAGGCGAGAGAGAGAGAGAGCGCGAGAGGAGCGGTCCCCTTTTCCTTTGTCTTTGAGGAGAGAACTTAAGGGGATGCTCAAAGACGCATCTTCATAACGTTCACTTACAGCAAACTTGTTCTGCTTCACAAAGTGTTATGTCTGGGATTTTAATGGATGTGAGATGGAGTAAGTGCTGGTGCCGTGTTTTTGTCTCCTGGGGATGTTGCGACACGCAAAACAAAGCCTGTCAGAAGTTTGCCAGGGATGGACGCTTTACGCACGCACGCAGGAAAAAGAAAAAGTGAATGGGTTAGTTCATGTAAATAGTTGAATGCAGACTCGTGTACAGAGATATAATTCTTTTTCTTTTCTTTTTTTTTCCAGAAGTTGCGTTCTTGTTTTTGAGAAGTTGGCGCTGCAGTGAGGAAATTCTCCACAATGCAATCAGGTGTAAAGTCTGCACGAAACAAGCCAGTGAGTCACAATAAAACTTTTCTAATGTTATATTTGAAGGGCAAGAACGATGTTGCCAGACGAAAACAACTCTCCACCGCAGCAACTCTTTAAGAAAGTTGTTGCGCTGCGTTGAAAACAGATCAACAGGTATAAGTTGCTGCAGCGCGTCTTTGTTACTGTAAAGGTTCCTTTGTTCTCAGCCTCATACAAAGAAGAGCGACTGAAAAGAGCGCAAATCCATTTGGAAATGTCCCGTTTGATTTCCTTAACTTCATTTTATAGGACTTTTTAAAATATTGATATTTCAGTTTAGATCATTTAAGAATAAACAAATGACTTTGCTTAAAAATGATACTCACCAACTGGAGGTTTACTTATAAGGACCAAAACACAGCAGCATTTAATGAGGCTCTGGACATACAAAATAACACAACAAACAAACAAACAAACAAACAAGCAAAAGGAAACCCAGTATTTAAATATAGCTGGTCCAAACAATTTGAAGTGTTGTACTTTTAAACTGCAGACATTAACTATTAATGAGTAATGAAGAATAAAAACTGATTTAAACAGATGACTTCAAATAAGTTTGACCCAACTTAGTGAAGTTCTTTGTCCTGCTTTATTAATGTGATTAACAAAAAATTCTTTGTTAACTTTAATGAATCATTTTTTTCTGTTTTGATAGCATGTGAAGCAATTCTTTGCTGTTGAGAAATGAATAGTGTAACTTTAAAGCTAGGGATTACCTTCCTATAAAATTACAATATTCTCAGAAGATATATACTATATGTCACATTACTGTAAATTTAAAATGTATTCTTGAAAATAACTCTTAAGATAAACAACTTTGAATTTCAGTGTTTATATCTAAATGAGGTAAAAAGAGCCAGCACTCCATACTGAAATTAAATAGGCTACTGTTGGTTTTGTTTGTCAGTCTCATTGTTTTTCCATGAGCTGGCAAACAATTTAAAAACTGGAATTTAAAATAGAAACACAACAAGAAACACAGTACATTTGAAAGTTACTGTTTAATTTACAGCAAAACCATCTCAGTCTTTTATGGGACTGATGTCTCACCAGTTTAACATTTAATTTTGTGTAAAAAAAAAAAAAAAAAGAAACTGTAATAGTTTAATAGTTATTAGATGATTCTTTCCAGTTGGTTATTCTTTAACAAAGATACTTTACATTCTACAGAGCAAAACTTTGATTTAGCTGCCACATAGGCTTAATCTGTTTCTTGATTTCTCTTTGCCTTTAGGTGGAATTTTAACAGATTATCTAGCAAGGCATCTCCTGTGGAAGGTCAAGAAAATGGCAAAAACAATATGCTGAAAGAACATGAAGATGGCACAGGATCACTTATCAGACAAAGCTTTAAGACGGAGAGGAGGATTTAGAGACCGTGCAGGTTCCTTTTGGGGAGAAGGTAAAGACTTATCTCATGTTGGATTTAAACTTTTGCAACAGCGGTGCCTGTTGGATTGCGTTTTAGGGCACACGTGAAAATCCCAAACTCATGGAGACACTTTAAGGATTATCCGAATTCATGGTAAATCTCTCCACAAGATACATCTTGAGCCAGAGTTTCTGGGACAGCAGGATATTGCACTTCTGATCCTCCTCGGCCCTCGGCACGGGTAGGTGATATTACTTTTGAGTGGGTTCTGGCAGTTGTCCAGTTGCTTGTTTCCTCTCTTGTGTCAACCAAACAAACACACAAAAGGTAGGTAATGAAAAGTAGCATTGTATTTGCACTCCCGAGGATAAAAAAAAATTACCACTGAGATATTGTTCAAGAAGGAGGCCGTGGTAAAGAAATTGTCATCTCACACATCGTAATTTACAGATTACAAATGTACCATTAGCTTGTAAACAGCTTGTCCGACATAATTATTTTATCTAGAAACAAGAACAACTGAATTAACTAAGGCAAACTGCCAAAACAAACCGAGGACTTGTTTTATGGTCTTTTTAAGATTTTGTTTGGCTCTGCAGTGGTGGTCTTTATTTGATAGTTAATTGACAGGAATGTGGATAATGAGAAAAGGGGAACACAACCGATGCAGCAAAGGTCATTAGGCTGGGAATCGAACCTGGGACAGCCGCGTTGAGGACTAAGGCCTCCACATGTGGGTTGTGCTTAACCCACCACAGAACCCTTTTTTAATTATTTTCATTGAACTGCCAGACTATAAGGAAGGCATGGAGCAGAATTTGGTTCTGATAGAATGACAACGTTCAGCAAAAAGTTTTTATGGTATTACCGTATTGACATAAATTTGAATCCAGAAATATTCATTTTGCTGCAAAATAGCACAATATATTTTTCACTGCAGGTAATATAAATAAATAGACTCTTTATATTACATGTTTTCATTATGTGCTTAGGCAAGTTTTATTTCTTATAAATTAGCATAGGTAGGCATAGTAACCTTATGTTATTTGGTTAGTCAGGCTATCTGCTCTAGCAGTCAGCCTGCAAGTCAGCTGCTTAACAGACATCCTCCATGAAGCTCGACAACTGCATATTCATAAAAGTTTTAGCATCTGAAATTGTGCTTCAGGGGCCACATGCTTTTGCAGACCTAAAGTCTGCCAAATTCAGACTGTCTGTGCTTTAAGCAAACAGAAATAATAAACCAAATGTGTTTTTTAAAATTTATTTTTGTAAGTTTGGTGGAACGTGTAGCAGCCTTTTTCAGCTAACTGCCAAGCAGTATTGATGGGGAAGGGGCAGTGCTCCTTCATTTTATCCATTAAGCTATCCGAGAAAGCTCTGGTCACTTTCTCTGGCATCTCATGAAAAAGTCTTTTGCGTTGCATTTTTGTGGTTGTGAAAATGTCATGTTTTAAATCTTTAATGCTGCCAGCAAGCCAGACCTTCTCTGAAATTTGTAGTAAAAGTACACTTCAAAATAAAAAGAATAGCCCAAAGTCATGGTTTCTTATTTGTTGTCTTAATTAAGCTGACTCAAATGAACTCTGTGTTCAATTTCTTGAATGGTTCAATTTCCAAATGTGTTGTATTACCGGTGGATCAACTCTGCAAGCATTTAGATAGAAAATGTTCCTGTTCCATTGATTTAAAGTTATATTTACAAGACGTCAGAGAAAGTGCTGGAGTTATTTGCAATTTTTTTCTAGCTCCTAGAGGCATAGATTTACACAGTACTGCCCCTCTCCCACCTGTTGCTGTGCCCTACTGGTCAACTTCCAGAATGAAGCCATCTGTGCTTTTACAATGCTCACAAGAAAGAGAAATTTCACTCTTTCAAAAATATTTACGGTCAGGAAAACCACCCACACTCATAATGTAAAATCAGAGACATCGCATTTATTAAGATAATGACCAGAGTTTCAAAACTCACTAATATCAGCTTCTTGTGCATATGTGACTATAAAGTTTTACATTTTACAAAGATACATTATGCACTATAAGCACTTGGAAGTAACTATTGGCTTTTTCTTAATTATAAAATAAAAATGGCTAAAGATGAGATTATCATAGCTGCAATAAGCTATTCTATTTCAACAGCAGTTGGAACATCACCAAACTTCTGCTTTCATCTAAAAGCAGAAGTTTGGTGATGCTTGACATTTCAGTTTTTTTATCCCTATGATAACACAATGAAACCAGGATATTTCTACAAGGCCTACTTCATGTGACATCCAGTGGTTCATTTTCATCTGGGGGAACTTAAGGGCAAATGCATTTCATAATCTTGTGTTACATGTTTGCATCGCAATTGTTTCTGCTGTGGAGCCAAGCAGCCCTCTAAAGATGCATGACTTCAGATGAGTGAGAGAGTGGGATTCAGCCCTTTCTCTCGCTCCCTCTCTGGAGGTCTTTGTCAATGATGTCATTGGGAGCCAATTACAACTTACAACCGTTTTCGTCATCATCCCAGCTCTGCCCCCAGCACCCCCAAACCAGCTACTCCTGCGTGACAGTCCACATGGTCCTGCATGTGTGCCTTGGCGCTGCAGAGTAATGCAGCACAGAGGCACAGATACTGCTGAAGCACGGCTTGTGGCGAAGGACTTAGATGTAAATCTGCTGTGTTAGTTCATAAATTAATTATTAGGGAGGATATTTTGTCTTTACCTGGATTTAATTAGCAGTAAATACACACAAGACATGGATGAATGTGAATGAGCAAACAGCCGTCCAGACAACACAGACGACTGTGTTCATGTGTATAGTATTCATTGAGAATGATGGTTTACGGTGGGTTTTAGTCTGAGTTGGATTATTACAGTGCATTGGGAAAACATACATACCATTTGAATCATTTAAAATATTTCATTTTAGAACCACACACCTCAATGTATTTGAACAAGATTTTGTTATAAGCCAACACATTAGAGATGATTTTAAAGTGGAAGCAGAAGTCTTTTGTTGAGTTTAGTAGGTTTTCATCCTGTATTACCTTGTACTCAACTCATCCATCTTCCCATAAACCCTGACCATCTTTCTTGTCCTGGCTAAAAAAAAGCATCCCAACAGCATGATCATGTTTTACCATGCTGATAATGTCTTCAGGTTGAGGTCCAGTGTTTTCTACGTCACAAAGAGTTTTTCATGTTGGTCAAAGACTCCACTTTGGACCTCTCTCAGTGGAGCACTGGGTAATAATTGCCCCAATGTGTGGGGCAATTATGATCCTCCATTGTCCCAGTGAGTCTCTCTGAGCTGCTTCTCTGTTAATGCTCTTGTTAAATGACCTGTAAGTTCATGTGGATGGTCATGTCATGGTAGGTTTGCAGATGGGTCATACTTGAGATCTTCCCTGAAGTACAGAAGTGTTCTCTGACAAAGCTTTAAGGCCTTTACAGAATATACGTCTTTATATGACATTGTTATGTAAGTGGATATTTTTGGCTTCAAGTACTATTTTAAAATTATTGCAACTTAACTGATGTATATGCATGCATTTCCATTGTTGCTTTAAAATCTAATTATGTACTCTATTAAACAGCAAGTGTTATGACCTGCAGTGTGACATTTACCTGCATCCTGCTGCTCTTGACCCACAGAACAGGTAATAGTCTGGAAATGATCGAATTAGAGAAAAACCAGGTCAGTCAACTCTGTAACACACAGGTGAGACAGTTTCAGGTCAGTGGAAGAGGGAGATTCCACATGAGTCATGATGTTCATTAGATGAAAACACAAGCTCATACGTAGTCAGAGAAGTGTAATGTCTCCATCTGTCATTTGGCTTGATTTTTGACTTTTAGCATGAAGGTGATTTGAAATGTTTTCACTCCACTGAGACATTCTTGAAAAGTGTGAACATATATGTCATGTGCTCGCAGTTCTTCCCAGGTCTGAATAAGTATAAAACCTTGAACCGAAGAAACTTTTTATTTCATTTACCTTGACTCTTCTGGTCAACAATGTACTCATCACAAATGGTGTTAGATCGGGCTTTGAGAACCCTATGTCCTTGCTTCTGTCTTTGTGTGTTGGTCCACATTTTCTTGAGCTGTAATGTAACGAATTGCAGTTGTCATTGTAACACCAATGTGTGCATTATTGCAATTGCAAAGGACTGCATCAATCAAATGTTTGGTCAGCTATTAACCTTCAGCTGGCATACATTCACTCTGCATTCCAAATATATTTTCAGCCAGTCGGGAGGACTTTAGGCCAAAACCTATAAATAAGATTTTTGTGACTGAAAGCAAAAGCACACATAGAATCATTTGACATTTTGGGAAGTGTTTTGAGGCTTTCTGGAACTGAACAAAATGCTGTGTTTTGAAGCTATGCTTATTTGACATCTTCCATTTTTTATGAATAATTGTATATGTATCTAACATAATTATTTAATTAAGGTTAATTATTTTAGATTTGACTCACTAATGTGGAGTGTAAGTAATCCAGATTTCCACAGATGAAGCTGTCTTTTCTCAAATTAAAATCTGCATTTCTACTACTCTCCAGTTACAAGATGATAAACCTCCTGCAGAAAACAAAAGAAAAAGCCAAAAAGCACAAAAAAAGAAGAAGAAAAGAATTGCAATTTAGGATACTTGATTATGATTCAATTCTCAGTACCAAACTTGCTACAACATAGTTTCTCTTACTGTATACTAAGTTCCTGTGTGTGCATTCTAATTACACTGCTTATCAGTAAAGCTTTCATGATATAAAGTTCAGCTTTCTTAATATTTGTCATGTTCCATCTGCTTTATGTGAGCTGAAATGAAATCATTTGTTTATGCCATTAAAGACTGCACACACACATCTAATTTTTCACTTGACAGGGTTTGCATTCTTGGTTAGCATAAAACTAGAAGGTACTGGTTGTACCAGTATGAAGAGTGTATGTTGTTCTTACCACACTGGCCCAGTATTGAAATCAGTCCATCTGGGAGGGAACGCCTGTCGTGAAGATTCGAGTGCTCTATGAAATATTCCTCTCATTAACTGGGATGTACATTCACAAGTCAGACCAGTTTCAGTGAAGCACTGCATTCAAATAAATTGTTAGAGCTTTGCCTAGTTTCATTATGCATGTAGATAACTGCATCGCGCGTTATCTATACTGACCTACTTATGAAGCCAGAAGTTACATACACCTTTCTCACTATCTGAAGTTAACTCAGATCAAATTTCTCTTGTTTTGGGTCAGTTATAACTCCCATCTTCTTTTCTGTTTGCTAAATGTTACAGTAATGAGAACTAGAAAGTGTCAGAGATTTATTTATTAATAATGTCTTTAAAATCAAAACTTTATGTGCAGATCCTCTGTGTTCCAGATCAGATGGAGATCAAACTTACAGATGTAAGCTACTTCAGTTCGTTTATAGTGATTTGTGACACTGCATCTGCATGTCTCTATGCTAGTTTGATTACGTTCATGGTAAATGCACTTTCTGAAATCAAAAATGCATTTGTTAAGAAAGCTATGCTTTGTTCATGAGAATGCAAACAATTTTAGCAATCAATGTGGTGAAAAGCTATACATGCCAATTTTTGATAGAAACTGCTACTAACGTTAGCCTGATTAGCACTCAATGGATAGCAAGTCACAATCTTTCCACAGAACATCAAGTTCTTATCTTGTCACTCTGTTACATTTCTCTCTTCTACAAGTATCCAAATGGCGCTGCACAAACATTTTAAATGAGGTGGAGCCTTCTCCAACTGTTTGTCGATCCGACTGCCAAAACAACAGGGCTACAAAAAAAAGTCTCAAACATAAATGCAGAGTGCCAACCTCAAAGCACTCAGTATATTAGCTTTTATTTATTTCACTATTATTAGTGAAATATTGTGACTTGATATCTCTTTACCTAAGTATTCTTATAGTCTCAGATTTTTGAAATTTGCATCTTTTTTTTATCCTTACATGTATAATGTCTTCCACCATTGAGTTTAACATAAACAGAGTAACACTAAGCTCACACAGCTGCTGTGAAATGATTGTCAAATTTCCTGCTATGCGACTCAAACGAAGCATCAAATTAAAGTAGTTTTTGAAGACTTTGTATCATTTTACTTAATAATATGTCTCAGCTCTAGCTACACTGTGTATGAAACGTGACAGAGCCTCATGACCTCTTTGCCTGAAAAAATAAAGGTAACTCTGCATCATGGCATTGGATTGCTATCTTCATTATTATGCAGTCATTGGTTTGATGCTCAAAAAGTCTGCCTGCGACACTGATGACATGCAAAGTTTATTGAACAAGGAAAAAATACAACATCAAAACTGCAGTAACTAATCACTACTTTGAGCCTAATTCTCACAGACATCCTGTGGCGACCCTCCAGAAAGCTATCGGGTTTATTTTTACCACTCACTGTGTGCATCTTATGGCTGCTCCAGCAGGCAACCACACAGGAATGCTCAAGCGTTTATGTGCAGAGTGGATGTTGTTTATTTTTTAAAAAGCAATAAAATGACAAATTCTAGCTGAGGTCCAGTTTATCTCAGTGGTTAAACATGCAGCATTTCCTCAGCGTTGCATTAAGCTTATTGAATTATTCCTTTTTTTTTCCAGTCTGGTAGGTAATGTTTGATGCACTGATGCAAGTGCTGACATATGGCCAAATGGATTTTGAGTTGGAGCTTTAAAACATACCACCTGCCCAAACAGATTTGGTCAGGCAGTATGAAGCTTTAGAGACAAAAAAAAAAAAAAAAGACTACAGTTAAGATTAGCAAGTTGTTGAAACCTGGAGCAGTAATAATCTCATTTAATTTTTCCCTGCAGCTGAATTTAGGTTGATCGTCCTTTTGTGCTCAAAAATGAGTCATACAGGACACTGCTCTGTGGCTACAGTACAGTGAATTACAGTGCAGTAAAACATTTGGCCCAGCATTACTAATCATGATGACAGTCCTAATTCTCTGAGCTGAAGGCGTTTTGTGGTCATCCTGTTGCAAACTATCAAAGCTTAGTTTTACCACTCAACGCCTGTAGCCATGAGATAAGTTAACGCTCTCTGCTGGAATGCTAATACTTACCAGCGCTAAGGGACGGGAATAAATTATTTCATTATTATGTCGCAAACGTCTGAGAATTTGGAGGAGGCGAGGCAAACACAAATATGGAGGGCTAACAAAAGATAGACTTAGAGGAAAATGAAAATATAAAGATGTAGATTGAGAGCAAAAAAAAAGTAGCAAGACAGAGAGAGTCATAAGAAAGACAAATCAAGCAGATATTAGTCTTTACGCTGCACTTTATATCAACCTTTCTTCCATTTACAGGAATTCTCACACCAGGACTGTGGTGAGAAAGGCAGCCATGAGTGGAGAAGTCATTTTATTTTCCAGTTTGAGACATACAGAAGACAGATAACCGGAGGGCTTTTCTCAGATTGGTACATTTGAAGCTATGAGCTCAGGAATGCCACGAGGTAATATTGGAAAATAATAACCGTACAGATGTATTTTACAGCTTTGAAATGAAAACTGCCCAGGCTGAATCTGAAAACATGTGACCTTTGGAGAATTTCTGCCCTAGTTTTACATACCCGGTGCCTGCACTGGAGGGAGTAGTGAAACACACTTTTATGACCTTTCAAATAGAAAGCCTCAAAAAATGAACAGAAAATTTAGCTTTTGGATCTCAGCTGAGTTTGGAGGCTGCTTAATTATTTTATGTTCAGCTTAATATATGCTCGTATTCTGACGCCTGCAGAACATTTTCCCTTTTGGTATCTATTGTGAGCAAAACCAAATTGCTTATAAGTGCATGACAAATCAGTGGAGGAAAAAGCACAAAGTAGCGAGGCGGATCAAAATGCATGGGATGACATTCAGCTGACGCATGATGCAGCGTGTCTAAGATGCTTCTGATGATATTGCCTTTTACTCAGCTTTCATCCTGTCCCAGGTATAGATGCAGGGACACAGTTTCCAATAACAGCTTTAGCCAGTTGCCTATCTGTCCCTTGCAGATCAACTTATTACCGCCATAAATGCACAGCATGCTGCTGTCTGGGGATGGACTCGTAATCCCTCCAAAGACCAGGGTTTTATCACAACTAAATCTGCTTCACACACACAAACACACGCAGACAAGGCATACATCAGGGAAACCGCCATGGATACACAAAAGACACACAAACACATGACAACAAGCTTGCCTGTTAGCGACACAAACATGCATGCAAGAACAGGGATTTTATCACAGACAAATCTGTTGCTGTCTGCCGGTTAAGAGATTATTAGGCAGTGATTTTGGGGTACAAACATGCAGGGGTGTTATTAGCAGCTGAACACTGGCCGACTTTCTGAAGTCCAAGTAGTGTTAGGTGATATCATTAAAGGTGTTCCCTAATGCGGTAATGGATGGTGGTGTAAAAATGGAATTAAGATGAAGCAAATAATTGTGTTGGCAGCATTTATATGCGACGCAATTCTTTTTCAATCCTAACATTCTGCTTACTCCCCTTGTCTAAGAGGTCAAAAATGATCTGACCTTACAACTGAGCTTGTTTTTTGTTTTGTTTAGGAGCTTGATGTGGGAGGTTAGCTGAAGATTGAGAGTGCAGGTGCAGGTCAAATGCAATTTTTTTCTACAGCTAAACATGCTAGTGGGTCACTTTTGACCTGCAAGACAACACAAGGGTGACATTTTCTTCTCCTAAAAAGTAGACAAGGTGCTTGATGTGTCTGAGTGAAGTAGACAGACTTCAGTCAAGCACTGTGTTGTTGGCACAAATAAAATTATATACGTCACAAGTAACTTAATATCCAGAGCTGTATTATTTTTATGCAACTAGGCAGATGCTGTCATTATTGTGCAGATTATGGGAAAATAATAGTTCACAATGTTATTCCAGACACAAAAATAATATTGGTAACAAATATAGAGAGACACCACCTTCAGTGTTGTAAGATCCAAATGTATGGCAAACTGAACACCATGTTAGAAAACAGAATTTATTGTACACTTCTTTTAAGCTTAGTTTTTTTTCACTTGGTGTTTAGGGTTAGGATTATAACTACTATGTAACGATCAATTAAAGTGAGTCATTTGTCTTGAAAATGCAGATTGAAATATTGAAATCCCAGTTTGCTGTAGGAGCATGAGACCTGATTGTATCAGTGCTCTTCTTTACATGCATGTTTTAGTCATGTTTCTAACTAAATTATACATCGTACAAGCCTCCTGGAGTGTGAAGACAGCTGCTTTGTTTTGAGTTTGTGAA